ATATTATTGTTACTTATATAAGTATATTTATTTACTTATATTCACATATTACATATACTTAATATATACTTATATTAGTTATACATATATTAAAGTATAATATATAAGTGTATTACTCAACTTATAGTAATATACTTATATATTAAAGTATAATATATAAGTGTGTTAGTCATCTTGTAGTAATATTAACATAATATTATCTACTTATTATCTACTTATAAATATATATTTACTACATATATAAGTGTGTTAGTCATCTTGTTAGTCATCTTATATTATATATACTATCAACATAATATTATCTACTTATTAATTTTGTTTACACACTAATACATTCTTCATTAATATAAAAGTTGTTAATTGTTTCACTTATCATTGTAGACTTTTAGTATTAGTTCATTGCTATAAAAGTGGTTAATTGGTAGTTGTTAGTTTATTGGAAATAGTTACATTAAAAATTGTTAGACAAGAATTCGAAATTAATTGTTTACTTGTTAAACTAGTTAATTGTTACATTTCTTAATCTCCTCTAATACTAGTTAATTGTTACATTTATTATTCTCCTATCAAACATTCCCATTAATTTTGTTTACACACTAATACATTCTTCATTAATATAAAAGTTGTTAATTGTTTCACTTATCATTTTAGACTTTTAGTATTAGTTCATTGCTATAAAAGTGGTTAATTGGTAGTTGTTAGTTTATTGGAAATAGTTACATTAAAAATTGTTAGACAAGAATTCGAAATTAATTGTTTACTTGTTAAACTAGTTAATTGTTACATTTCTTAATCTCCTCTAATACTAGTTAATTGTTACATTTATTATTCTCCTATCAAACTAGTTAATTGTTAATTATATTATAGTTGTTCGAAAATTTATCTACTTAATATATTAAGTGTATTCCTCATCTTATAGTCATATATTTATATTATATATACTATAAACATAATATTATATATTACTAGTTAATCTACTTATTATCTACTTTTAAATATATATATTTACTATATCTACTTATACACTTAATATAAAAGTAGTTAAATTTCTCCTATCAAAATAGTTAATTCATTGTTACATTTATTATTCTCCTCTAAATTTCATTGCATTGTTACATTTAATGTCTAGTTAAAATTTCTCCTATTGAACTAGTTAATTGTTATTTATATTGAAGTTGTTCAAATTTTATAATAAAAGTTAATTTAATTGGTACATTTTAATTGTTACATTCTAGTCAATTTAATTGTTCGAATTTAATTGTTACATTGTAGTTCGATTTGTTAGATTTGTATTTGAAATTCACTAGTTTAATTGTACTTCGAATTTAATATTTGTTATATTTTTAAGATGGAACGTGGTAGAGCTTCAGGTAACCTCCGCCGCAACCGAACAAAGGAGATTGCGAGGAATCATCCAAGCTTGTGACGGGCCGGGGCTTCATCTCAAACCCGAGATGATTTTGATGCGGATTATAACCAAAGATATGGGTCTGCGATGTCCGATGAGCAAGTAGAACAACTATTACGACAAAATCAAGGGGCCTTCTTCCATCAACAAAACATCCCGACCATTGACGAAGAAGAGCTCGAGGATGATGATGCGGAGGAGAGGGATCCGCAAACGGTCGAGCACGAGGTTCATGGCACACCGTACGATGATGAAGAGCAAGCGGAAGTGGCTACTTCTTCCCAAGGCGGTGAGAAAGCTGAATCAGTCTTTAAGGCAAATTTTACAAAATTTAAAGACCCCCAAACCGAGATATGGTACGCCACTTGCAAGCATTGCCCAAAGAAGTATAACTTGGGAACTTCTGGAGGGTACGGGAGCGCCACAAGGCATCTTAAGGCCAAGCACCCGGCGGAATATGCGAAATCAGACAAAGGCAAGGGAAAGCAAACACAAATTTCAAGATTTGGAAGTGGCCAACCCTTCGGTAATTTCTCCTATGATGATCAAAGACATTTGACTGGTATGTCGCATTTGATTGTTGAAGAAAATTTGCCTTTTATTTTTTCCGAAAGTCTTGCTTTAAAAGAATATGCTCAAGGTACTTTAAATCCTCAATTTCGAAACTATAGTCGCAAAACAATTAAAAAAGAAGTTATAAGGCAATATGTTTTGGAAAAGGAAAAATTACAAATATTTTTCGCAAACTTTGATGGCCGTGTTAGCATATGTAGTGATATATGGGAGGATACTCATCATCATTTATATTATTTGGGTTTGACTGCACATTATATTGATGATGATTGGTGTATGCATAAACGTGTTCTTGCTTTTCGTGAATTTAATGATCGACACACCGGCGATAATATTTATATTCTCATTGAGCGTAATTTTAGTTGAGTATAATTTGATTGATAAGGTGTTTGCTATTGGTTTTGATAATGCTACTAATAATACTGCGGCTATTCCTAGATTGCGTGAATTGTGTGGTTCATCTTCTTTGATGGGTAGGTTTTTTCATCAGCGTTGTGCATGTCATATTTTAAATTTATGTGTAAAGGACGGTCTTGCGGCGTTGGGAGATGCTTTGGAGGTGGTCAAGGGGGGGATTAAACTGATTTGGGCTAGTAATCCACTTAAGATGCAATGGAGAAATTATTTGAAAGAAAGGCGTGTCAAATATTGTGCTTTTCCTAAAGATTTGTCTATTCGTTGGAATAGTACTTATAATTTAATTAAAGTGCTTATTAGATATAAAAACCATTTTCCCGCTTTTTTAAGAGAATATGCTAACTATATTATAAACCCGGCCGATATCGACACTTGTGAAAAAATTGTGAATGTTTTGGTGTTTTTTAATAATGCCACTGAAACTTTTAGTCATGTTTATAAACCTACCGCAAACCAATTTTTTGTTGAAGCTGTTAATCTCGCCGGCGCTTTTTCTGAATTCTCTGACGCCGCTTACGTTAGTTATTTTTGTGACTTCATGAAACAAAAGTTTTTAAAATATTATTCCTATATTCCGCATATATATGGTTGATGGATAGTCTACCCGGGGGGTATCTTATCCGAGGGGTTATTACGGGAATAACTAGAGAGAAGTCAGAGCAAATAGGAGGAGAGAGAGTCGATTGTATTAAATGAACTCAGCGTGTGGAGTTGGGATCGTTTACAAGGAGAAATGGGCTGCTATTTATAGCAGCAATAAATGCGATGAGAGGACACGTGTCAGTAATCCAACGGCCGAAGGGTCACATCAGCCGGTTGGCACCGGCAGTGGTACGTCCACCGCATTGAATGCTGTGGGTGGATGTGACGTCGCATTAAATGCGGTGGTTGGCTGTCTCCAAAGGGAATCTTCGATGATTGAGTCTGTTTAGCCGAAGGCTCCTCGCGTAGCCGAGGGCTTTATGTGGACGAAGGCACTGTGTGGCCGAAGGCTTCATGTATGGCCGAGGGCTTCATGTATGGCCGAGGGCTTCATGTATGGCCGAAGGCTTGATGTATGGCCGAGGGCTTCATGTATGGCCGAAGGCTTGATGTATGGCCGAGGGCTTCATGTATGGCCGAAGGCTCCCTGTGTAGCCGAAGGCTTGGTTCAGCCGAGGGCTTCCCCTGGTGCCGAGGGCTCCATAGTGCCGAAGGCTCCTGTCTTCTGTCATTTTCTCCCAGTAGCTTCGCATGGTCAAATATGGCGGTTCTGTGAGTTTTGGAGCCTTCGGCCAAGGAGGCCGAAGGCATCCCTGTGTGTATTGTGGGCTCCTTGACGCTTGGGCCGCCGAATCTTGGGCCTCCTGAGCTCCTTGGGCTTGTTGGGCTTGTGATAGATTAGTAGGAGTCTGTGGGCCGGGGGTTCCCGGGCCATATACTCCATCAATGGTATTGCATTTATTCTTGATCCTCGCTTTAGACTTGCTTCTTTGGAGAAATGTTTAGATTACTATTATGCTTCTTTTTTTGGTCCATTGCCTATGTACGACGACAAGGCCATAGACCCTAAACAACAATTCCAAGAGGTTAGTAATTTTTTATATCAATTATTTAATGAGTTTCATGCACAATATGGTAACGCACCCCCTCCCCCGCCACGAACATCTTCTTCATCTAAAGGAAAATCAATTTTCAAATCTGCATTTGGCAATCTTATGAAAAAAAGTAAATCAACTCCGGTTAATGAACAAAGCTCGATCAACGAGCTTTCTTTGTATCTAACATTTCCTGTTGATTATGAAGAAGGGGATGACTTTGACGTTCTTCAGTGGTGGAAGGAAAAAGAGAGAACGTTCCCGATCTTATCAAAGATGGCTAAGCAAGTGCTAGCAATGCCGGTATCAACAGTTGCTGTGGAACAAGAGTTTAGTGCGGCCGGCAACGTCCTAACGGATTATAGAACGAGATTAAGCGCAAACTCTCTTGAGACGCTTGTTTGCTTCCACGATTGATTGAAGGCCAAACGTAGAACTCAAGAAATAAGCATTGAACCCACTCGCCACTTTATGGAAGAAACAACTGAAGATGGAGGAAATTCTAATTGATTCATACTTCTTTACTTATTATAAAGTGTATTTCATGTTTTTATTTTTGCTCAATTTTCAATTGTACTACAAATATCAAATAAATATGTTTTACCCTTTTTTATGTCCAAGTAATATTAATTTAATTTTGGTATCTAAAAAAAAAAAAATTAAAGCCCGGGCCCGGCCCGGCCCGGACCCGACCGAGTCGACCCGGCACGAACCGGACCCGGTATCACCCCGGGCCGGTTCCGGGCCCAACAATCCCCAAAAAAAGCCCACCCGGGCCCGGCCCGGAACCGGCCCGGCCCGGCCCGGAACCGGCCCGGGTCCATCCCTACATACAATTATACAAATCTTTCTCTCATGATGTCAAAGATTATGTCTTTCTTTGGTCACACTTTTTTCTAGATACCTAAATCTTCGTCTGAATTATAATGTCTTCCTAGGTTCCACCATCAGGACTACTAGGTCCAGTTGAAAATAACGTCTTCCTCGGAGACTAATATACGTAGAGCGTTTAATTAAGTAGATACTCCGTATTTCTTTTCTTTTTTTCTGATAGTACACTAAAAAATGCAATAAAGACAAATTAGTGGAACCGATTTAACCACTCTGGGCCCTTCCTCTGAAATCTCTAAACCAAACAAGACCAAAATGCAGCATTTAAATTGTCATGATATGATAGGATTGATAGCCAATGAAGTTCTGTTGCACATCCTTTAACCTTTCTTTCCAACCTAGTGTCTTGGAAACTGTCCTCATTCCATCAAGTGATGGGGCTAAAAATTACATTAAAAATGACCAACAGGAAAAACACCAGACTCATCTGTATGTCTCTGGCAAGAAGAAGCCAGGAATAACAAGCTTGTCAGCGAGCATTCTGCCCGTCTTTGGCATAACATGCCAATGCAATGTAAGGTTGAAACTTTTACCACGGAGATTGCTTCCCTAAACATGATTAAAAACATTGTCATGAAAACTGTTATAAGCAGCAAAAGACAAATATGCAATACAATAAAACAGATTTGGTGCCTAACCTGATCAATGAATCTGTACTTATTTTTGGTGTGGATCCAAAATTTTGCATGCTCTTGAGCAGTTATAATACCATCCCACAATGAAACCTTTGACAAGAGCGTTTAGGTCAGATGGAGGAAACAATTCAAATCAATCGATGACTGGGCACGTTATAACATAATTTTCACAATATTAAGATCATACCTATTTTCAAGATATTTTCTTATAACATCACAATAAAAAAGAAAATATTGATTTTGCACAATATGTTCAGTAACATAATGAAAATAAAGCATTAATTGTTCACAACATGGTGAGGCTTTAATAGGCTTTAATATAATGTTACTACTATTCTTACTTTTAAATAATGCAATACAAAAGAAAAATTACTTTGTAGGATAAAAGTTATAAAAAAATCATCACACTAATACGAAATAAATGGATTTAAATTTTAAAGACTAAAGGATACATTACTAGGTTGTAATTACACTTGTACACTTGGTTGTTTGTCCCTTTATCACGAGTTCAATTGTGCACAAGGACACCTATGTCTATCTCACTACTCTACCAGATAATGAGATGAAGATATCCTTGGGGAAAATATAAGGAATTTGTAACCAGGGAGATAATTTTTATAGCAAAGCTTATATCAAAGTTGAAGTCAACTACCTCATCAGACAATGTAATCAAATCAGCATATACTAATAATAATCTCTGATCAGAATCCATCTACTAAAGCATTGCAAATCTTACATGCCTAGAGTTTAGAGAGACAAGAAATAGAGTAATTTTGATATCATTATGTTCAAGTGTAATCATTAAGATGGGGGAAAAGTTGAATGACCAACATCACATTGAACAGCATTGGAATTGCCTGATTCATTGTTGAAAATAGTGAAACAAAAAATACCTGATTCAGGGCATTCTTTGGGGTTTCATATTCAGCTGCCAAAAACACAAAAACCTGCAAAGGTTTAAAGAGACTACACAATTAATACTCAAAATAGAACTCACCGTAGAACGAATGACAATAAAACTATCGTTCAAGTACCAATCTGTTTGAGTTTATCATTAATTAAGAATCACAAATATGTGTATATGCAGTATAATTAAAACTCCACAATCCACAAGAAATGTGCACTGCAAAACATTCATACTATTATGTGGATAAGTAATTATATACTTGAGAAGTTGATTAGACAAGATGAAGTGAATATGTCAAAAATGGTGTTCGTAAAAATATATAGCCTAGCAATTTACATTCTCATAAACATCCACGGTCGAGCAGAATTAACAGAGACTACTATTCTTTAGAAATCCAAGAACAAGCTATATGGTTCTAGAGATTTGATAATAAGGTAATGGAGTATATCCTAATAAAAGTCAACAAAAAGACTGCTGTTTTTGTAAACCCAAGCACGTACATAAATGAATCATGCTACTAGAGGTTGGATGATAATAATGGCAAACAACATATTAAAATGTCATCCCGCATGCAGAGAGATCCCAAAAGAGCATACAAGTATACAACATAACAATAAAGGTAAAGTCAGTATGAAAGAAGCCATAGCACTAGAACAAAAGAGGTGTATAACTTGAGCAAACCTGTTTTGTATTCCAGGTAAACAGTGACTGCAAATCTGCTGATACATTCAGTGTCAAACTGATCTGCATTGAACCAAGCATAGCCACCCATATTAGGCAAAGTTGGTCAAAGCATGCCAAGATCAGCAAATAACATTTATGTGATACTTCTAGTTTGAATTAACAGGCACCATGAGAGTACTACAAGAAATATATTTTGACGAAGAAATCACTGTGGTGGTTTTCTATGCATGAAGTTCAAGAACACTGATTTCCACGACTGAGCTAATTTTTCTAGTTGAACACTTCAATATGCACGACTAAAATTCGGACAAATTTAAGAGGACGATCAAATGTGAGGTGCACAGAATAAGTTGAAAAATAGCCTGTAGTTTTTCTAAAGGCAGTTCACAAGTTTGAAGAAAATAATATAGAAAAAAGATATAGAGAGTGTGCTGAAAATCATTGTGTATGTGCAGAGTATCTCTTTGTGACATGGTGTATCCTTTTAGATTTTTTAGAACTTGAAAAAAATGAGGCTCACACAAAGGGACGGAACCAGGGATTCAAACTTGAGGAGGCCATAACTAAAGTAAAATGTATCTAGTTCATCAATATAATTTCTTATACAGTGTGTAGTGTATACATATAAAACATACAGAGTAAAAATACATAGCATGCAAAATACTATGTAACAAATTAGAATATGAAAGTACATAAAAAATGTTTTATAAGACTGAGGTCAATATGTTAAAATTTCGCACCATGTTTCTTTAAAAAGTTAAAACTTGTCATTTACAGTTTATAGAATAAAAAAGTAGACCAAATTAGAGTCACATGCACACCTTCAAATTATATGTTCAGAATGGATTCAGTCACCATTACACATGTAAATGCTTGTAGTATTGTTTGCTCGCATTGCGAGAATGTGAGTACACACAAAGTTCAGATTCATTAGTTTCTGTTCCTCCATATGTATCCAGCACCATTCAAGAAGTCAAGATGTCAAGTGTCAAACAATCAAAGAAACACAATAAGGTGTGGGGTAAAAACCCTACTTTTATTGTTTATGTGATACAATAAGGTGTGGGGTAAAAACCCTACTTTTATTGTTTATGTGATTCATGTCCATGAACACATACTTAACCTCATTACATTGACTACCAACCCAAGTCCCACAATAGATTATCTAATTGAATTTCTCATTGCAAGACACATACAGATATACCCTATCAATTCTTTCCACAAAATTAAAAGGAATAATTCAAAGGGATGGTGAACATCATTTCAGAAGGATGAAAAATTACCTCATCATCGCCGTCGGGTTTTTTCTGGAACCAATTGATGTTCAATACCTGGATTTTAAAGAATATAATCAACAGATCAACAATCTCGGGTTTCTGAAAAACCAAGTTCAACTATCACTGTATACGTCAATACATATATAGATCTGTAGAAGTTTATGAGCACAAGACAAGCACCTGGACTTGGGCTGTGGGAGTGGGAGAGTTGAAATTGTCCGAGAAAGAGACGATGACACACATTAGCGCCAGGATGGTGACAGCGAAGGTTAGCAACGCATTGGCTCTGAACCCGGCAGAATGCATTTTGTGCTTCCGCTCTCACAACTGTAGAAAACAGAAGAATCAAAAAGTGGGTTTCCCTTGAATGCACTACATGGATTTTGGGACTTTGAAGAGAGTCGGAGACTGAATCACGCTCAGAGCAATGAACACATAAATATTAGTAAACAAATTCTTTCTCTCCTTATTTGAATGATTTTATACAGTTTTGGTAAGTTTTTCTCCACAATGTCAAGGAGACCGTCTAGATGTTGACATTGTTGTTGACATTGCAGGGAAAAACTTAACAAAATTGTATAAAATCATTCAAATAAGGAGAAAGATAATTTATATGCTAATATTTATGTGGCTATCACTCATGTCACATGTGCACCGTGAACATTATAGCATTGGAGATGCTCTCAGGGTTTACAAGTTTTAACCAAGTCTCCCAAAATAAATGTTGACCTTTAATTATTTTAAAATAGATTAATTAAATGTAGATTTCCCAAGCAATGCAGTATCAATACAAACGAGATTATCATGTGTGTTTAAAGTTGTGCACTTTTTATTTGTATTCTAATGCGCTTTATGTTTTACGTGTACACTTTTTGTATATTCTAATGTACACTAGTTACATAATTTTCATTTGAACTTTTTCATATTTCTATAATGTCACCACATTTTTTACTTAAAATTTGATATCTTCCATACGTAGTACTCCCTCCGTCCCATTTATATTGTCCCGGAAGAGGGTGACACGGTTATTAAGAAAAGTGGGTTTGTGTGGTTGATATTAATTGATAAAGTAAGAATAAAGTAAGAATGATTTAGATCCACACAAACTTTGCCAAATATGGTATGGGACAATATAAGTGGGACTTCCCGAAAAGGTAAAACGGGACAAAATAAATGGGACGGAGGGAGTATAATTTAGTCAAATGAATCCAATTGAATATAATTTAGTATAACATTACCTACGTTTGAACCTAAGAATCACAAATCAAATGAATATAAATTACGCTCACAAATAACACACTTGCACACTTAAATTGAATATAATATAGTAAAAGGATGAGAGACGAGAGTGATAGGTCAAGAACTGATAAAACCCAGGAGCAATGGAATAAAGAAAAAGTCAGGAAGAAGAATCAGAATAGCAGAAGACTAGAAGAGATGATCTCGATATATTTTTCCTCCCCTATTACATGGATGCAAGCACATATTTAAACACTTGAAATACAGAGGAGTTCCACTCCTGCGTGCATAGTGGTCTCCCCCCACAAAGCCAATAACTAAACCTGTAAACAAATGCAACTGCCTAGTGGTAACTAACCGTAAGCCAATAACTACAACAAAGGAAATAATATAATAATTATATGTGAAAATAATAAGACTCCAGCAGTCCAATGGGCCTATCAATACCCCCCTCCTGAAACAGTGACCTTGTCCCCAAGGTCGAAAGCACTCAAAGCAGAAAATTATTCTTGCATAGGAGCAATGTCTTCCCATGTGACATTCTCTTGTGACAGATGGCACAATGTATTCATCCCGGGTATCCTAAAGAAAGTTTTGGTGGACTCTCCTCGGGTGGAACTTCCTCATCCTCAGGTGTTGCTTCCCCACCGTCCAACAAAAGGAGTTGTGGTTGTTTACAACGATGTCCCGGAGTAAACCGCTCACTGCACGAAAAACAGAGGCCGAGTTGTCGTCTACGTTGCATTTCATCCCACGGTAATTGCTTGATGGCAGCAGGAGTTTTGTTTGGTTCTTGTGTCGGTGGTGGACCCAGAATTCATGCGGTGGGGCTAGGCTTGGCAGCACCAGAACGGAAGGAATTTCGGGTACTCAGTTGCCATTTTTCTTCTATTAGTCGTGCAAGGCCAAAAGCATCCTCCAAGGTTCGTGGTTTTTTTGTCTTGACTTCAAGCCGAATTTCATCTTTGAGTCCGCCGACGAAACAACCGATCACAAATGGTTCAGGAAGATCATCTATCTGGTGGCTAAGTTGCTCAAAAAATTCCTGGTAAACAGCAACTGTAGTGGTTTGTTTGAGACGAGAAAGAGCCTCAGACGGATCTTCGTATTCAGTTGGTCCAAAGCGCACCCGCAAGGACCTCACAAATTCTGCCCAGGAAATTGGGCCCCGACGCTTGGTCATCCAGCGAAACCATTGTAGTGCCAATCCTCCAGATTCATGGCGGCTAAGCCAAGTTGTCGTTCAGCAGTCACACCATAGAACTCGAAATATTGCTCCACTTGGTATATCCATCCGGTAGGGTCACCACCTGCAAATTTCGGAAACACCGCTTTCGGTTCGTGTGGCCGGGGAGTGGGGCGGCTGGTTTCTCCATTTGCAAAGGGGTTAACGTTAATATCCATGGCGGAGGGATCACGATTGAGGCGCCGGCTCACTGCTTGTAACTCGGCCGTCACTGTTTGTAGGGCTGTCGTGAGTTGATCCAGCAGAGATTCATGTCGGCCCATTGCTTCGTTAACTTCGTTCCGAAACTCAGCGTTGGTTTTCCCTCGGGTATCCATCGGCTCTGATACCAATTGATAAAACCCAGGAGCAATGGAATAAAGAAAAAGTCAGGAAGAAGAATCAGAATAGCAGAAGACTAGAAGAGATGATCTCGATATATTTTTCCTCCCCTATTACATGGATGCAAGCACATATTTAAACACTTGAAATACAGAGGAGTTCCACTCCTGCGTGCATAGTGGTCTCCCCCCACAAAGCCAATAACTAAACCTGTAAACAAATGCAACTGCCTAGTGGTAACTAACCGTAAGCCAATAACTACAACAAAGGAAATAATATAATAATTATATGTGAAAATAATAAGACTCCAGCAGTCCAATGGGCCTATCAAGAACCAAATCGGGTCTACAAAAAATTGAGACAGAATGACATACACTATATAAGGAGAATCAAATTGGGTGTTAAAGGACCAAATGGATATTAACCCTATCTAATTCCATGAAATAGGAAATCTGGAATTCAAAACAGGTATTGATCATTCATACAAAACAGGCAGTTACAACAACTTCAGGGAGTTCAGGGGGAGCTCAGCTTGTTCAGTACTTCAAAAAAACCAAATCCCCCAACTCTAAGAAGACAAGAGCTGAATATTAACATTCAAGAAGCTAAAGCCTAAAAGACTAAAATGGAATTGAAATTTCGAAATTACAGAAAAGAACTTAAAAGGGGGTAAATGTAGAAACCTGGATGAAGGAAATGGAACGGAAGGGGGCCCGGGGCGGCCGAGTCGCGGCTTGCCGGAGTCGACTGCCGATTAGCGCCTGCGTGGCTGCGTCCTTGCTGAGTTGCTGTGGACTGGTCTGTGGGGTCGTGGAGATGCATTTGGGATTTTGATTTTTGGGCTTGGACCGTTGGACGGCTGACTGCTCGTCGCTTGGGAGATAGATTCCGGACGCGCGAGATTGTTAAGGTGGGCCTGATTTTTATTGATGGGCCTAATTCAGGCCCGCCGTTTGGGACGGCTCTTTGTGAAATTTTTTTAATGAATTTTTTAAGCATGTTTCTTATTAAGTCTAATTTATTCACAAAAAATTTTAGTCAAAAATCTAACTGGAAAGACATTGAAACAAAAAAACAAAAATAACAATGTTTTATATGTATATTTTGATGCATTATCTTCAAAAAGCGGCATGCCTTACTGTAGAGTATAGACTACTCTGGTATAGGGGTGGGGAAAAATACCGAAATTTCGGTATACCGGACTTACCATATCGAAAAATACCGAATTTACCGAAATGTTTGGTATACCGACACTTTTGGTACGGTATGATACCATACCGAATTATTTCGGTATGATACCATACCGAATTATTTCGGTATGGTATCGGTATATATTTTGGAAATAAATGGTATACCGTTTATACCGTCATACCGTAATTCCAAGCCAATAATTTCTTTAAAATTATAAAAATAACTAGAAACACAACATTAATTAAAGGATAATGACTTTATATCCATGTTTCTTGAATTATTTATACTTTTTGTTGGAGATCGATGTTATTTCAAATATATTTATGTTGTTTAAATTATTATTTTAGCAGAATGTGTTGTTATCTTCATATATCATGTGTTGAAGTATTCGTGCATATTTATAATATTTTTTGGTTCAAAGTTGAATAGAACACAAATAGGTTATCAGTGGTATTTTATAATTAATTTCATTAATAATTTTAGTATATCACTACTAACACTGTTTTTCTATATTTCATTTGATATATAATAATTTGATATTAAATCATGATAATTTACCGATACCGTAGCTTACCGTACCGAAATTTTGGTATACCGAAACAAGGTATACCGAAATTTAGGTATGGTAACGGTATATATTTTTGCATACCGAAAGTTTACGGTATGGTAAAGGTATGAGATAAAATCTTCGGTATACCGTACCGAACCACCCCTACTCTGGTATGTTCTCATCCTTTCTTCATTTGCTACCATTTGACGAATTGTTAGTATGGATTCCGATTAGGCTCTCAAAATGAATGCACCCATTGCATTGGTTATTCTTAACTTGGCTATTAACTCTTCCTATTTTACCTTATTATTGGTAACTTTGAATTCAAAGTTGATGGTGTGGTGAGACTTTAATTCTTCATAGCTTGATTAAGAATTCAAAGTGTCATCTCTCATTTGGCTTGAGCTCCACTCAAATAAATTTCCATCTTCAGTTATAGGGCTCGCAAAAAGGATGATACGCCATCCTTGAAAGTCTCACAACTGATCGGACAATTATCTGGAGGAAGATAAATTAAGTTTTGATCGTACATTGATGAAAAGAGAGTCGAGTTTCAATACAAGTATTTGTTTGGAGTTGAATACAAAACTTTTTCCTTATGACACATCTTCGTATCATGTGAGCTACGCTCCAAACTCCTTTATAGGGCTTCCCATCATATCTTAAGTCATCAAAGGGTGGGCCTTTGACATATTTACTCGGTGTGGACTCCGTTTTAAAGTCTTTTGCGTATACTCCTTTCTTGATGTATCATACCATGAATTCGAAACGAAGTCCTTGTATTCACTTGGAGTCCATTTGAAAACTTCATTTTCAATTTATCAGTTTTATCAGTCAATTTTTTCACCAAATGCATCATTTTTATTCCAGACTCTTAATTGTGTAATAAACAAAATAAGTAAGGGTGAAATTTTTTCCGGATAAATTAGTTAATTTACTGTAGAGGAGGATCATTTAAACTAATTTTTCGTATATTTTGTTTTCAGTTTTATAAAAAGGAATATTTCAAATATAATTTTATCATAATTCTACGAATCATTTATTCCAATAAGTTCAGTTGATTCAATGTTACCTAACGGGTTCTTAATATCTTCAGTGTTACCTAACGGGTTCTTAATATCTTAAAACTACTAATAATGTTCATATAAAAAATAAATCTTGTGCGGGTGAGTGGAATCGTGCTCCTTTCAAGTAACTGGACTTCTCCAGTATCATAAATATAGAGATAGATGGGGAAATGGTGGGGTGGGAAAAATAAAAGATAAGATTTTATTATTTTTTAAGGAGATAGATATAGTTAAAAGAAAATGGAGATGAGAAAATGGAGAGGAGCATGACTCGAATGAGTGGGGGCTAATGAATGAATACTGTGGAAAAGAGCAAGTGTCATTATATTAGGCTCTATACTAGTCGTTTAGCCTAAATTTTTCAAAACCGTTCCATTCTTTTGAGCACTAAAGTAGGCGTAAATTTGAACAATTGTGTCTGCTTTAGTATTTCATTATTGATCTATACACTAAACCGTACAAAGAAAGCAACTTTAATCATGAAAGGGGCATGTGCATAGCCGGTTTCAAGGACCTTTCATTATTATTCTCTCAAAGCAAAAGAACACATCAGACAAACTTCTTTCATACTCTATACTCATTCTTTACCAAAGGGAGAAAATGCTTTTCATTCACTCAGATTTTTATTGCAAGTAAAATTCTGCAAGACAACTATTGATGTCAATCTAGGCAAGAAAAATTACACCTGTGGACAGAACTAATGGGAAAATGAGTTAGAAACATGGTACTTATTAACTTATATATATACTAAAGTCTTAAGAGCCACAGCTAGCAAATCTACCATACCAAAAGAGCCAATTACCTTACATTGACTGTAGTAGTACACCAACAAACATAAACAATGAAAACTCATGATGAGGCTAAACTGAAAAAATCATAACATGGAGGGTCGCAAAACAAAATTTACATCACACTACAGCTATCTGTATTTTCATCACTGAACATGTGAGTGAAATTGTCGTTGACAGGAGCGTGCATAGGCGGCCCATAGCTCATCCCCGGGTGTGGCTGCTGCGCATACATCATAGGATGCGGCCCGCCACCACCACCGTACATGTCATAACTGCTTGGTCGCTGCTGCTGATATTGGTTCATCATCATCATTTGAGCCATATATTGTTGTTGTTGCTGTTGCTGCAGTTGTTGTTGGTGCTGCTGTTGTTGATAATGTTGGGGGTGTTGATAAGGGTTTGCGCCTTGCGGCCCACCCATTCCCGGGAAAGAACCGCCTTTCATGGCAGCTGCTGCCGGTAGACCTTGGACAGCCGCCATATTTCCCATTTGGCCCATTGGGTAGTTGCCCATCTGGCCCATTGGGCCCATCGGACCCATTGGGCCCATCTGGCCCATACCCCCTCTACCACCACCTGATGCTTCCTGGAACCCCTTCATTTGCATATTGTTGTTCATCATCTGCTGACCTCCACCTTTCAGCTGTTGGCCCCAATTATTATCTCCACCCTTATGACCACCACCACCTTTACCATTGCTGATCTTACCTCCACTTGCACCGCCGCCGCCACCATGAATTTGATACCCTCCCTTTCCATTCTTCTCTCCATTGCTGCTTTTTTTACTACCATCATTGTGATTTCCACCATTCATGCCCTTGAAATGCACTGGGATTTCAAACTCTTCGCCGCCTTTCTTGGGTTTCCCGCCACTTTTCTTACCGGCCTTGCCCTTTAGCATATTCATCATTCCACTAAAACCTCCACCTTTTCCATCACTGCTTTTTCCACCCTTGCCACCACCACTTCCTTTGCCGCCCTTGCCACCCATCATTTTCGACTTGGAGGGTGGGTGGTGGTGACAATCCTCATGCTCATCATCGGACTCATCATCATCATCAAAATCATCATCGTCCTCATCATCGAAATCGTCAAGATCATCAAACTCGTCATCAGGCAAATCGAACTTGACCGATTTTTGGTTCTTGGGAGGAACGCCTTTTAGGACAGCGCCCTTCATGGGATTTTGCATCATATGCCCCGCACCCTTCTTAGGGTCCTTACCCCCACCTTTACTATGGGATTTCAGGTCTTTTCCACCTTTGAAGTCCCCAAGCTCCAAATTCATGAACTGATTGTTCATCATATTGAATGGAATCTTATTCCCCTTATTTTGTGATGAACATAGTTCTGCATGCTTCCCTGAACTCTCTAGCTTCCTTACAAGTGTTGCAGGGTCAGCATTCCCTGTTACTGTCACTTTTCCACTCTCTGCATCTATCTTCACACCATAAACACCTAATATTCACCCCCAAAAAAATCAACATACTTAACTTTTTTTGACAGAGCATACTTAACTAAGATATAGTAAAATGGACAATTACATATTTTTTTAGGTTTATTATATAGCAAACACAGTATGTCAATATAAAGCTTAGATATAGCACATTAATTATTTTCTTTTGCTAAAAAGGACTAATTAACTCCAAACTAATCAGTCACATTTAAAGAAAAGTGTACTGTTTTAGTCTGAAAGTGCTCCTTTCATTGCTCTTAACTCAATACTCAAATTTAAAAACTTAGATAGATAAACAAAGTCAGATATGGAATACAAAGTAAATCTCTTAGGCAAATTGGAGCTATAAATATACATATCTTGCAATTGGCTCAAACTTTTCAAAGGACATATGAAATGAATTAGTATTATGAGCTACAAGAAAGAATCACAAGCTCACCTTCAACCTTCTGCAATATCTTTTTCACTTTATGCTTGCACCCATCACAGTGTATATTCACCCTAAGAGTACAAGTCTGCAATGAACAAGAAGAATTAGTGCATGAAGACTAGAAGAACAATAAGAAGAGGAGAAAAGACAAAAAAGCATATTAAAGTAAAAAAGAAAAAGACACAAAATCTGAAAACACCATAGCCGTCCAGCTTCTCTTTAACTAAAGTAAAAACTCACCGGAGCCTTCAAGATTTCATGTTTACTCATCTTGCTCAGCAAAAACAGCCCCAAGAACACAGCTTTGAGGAACAAAGAAACAGAAAGATTGCAACTTTTTTCTTCCTTAAGACAGAAAGAAAAGATTTTGAGAAGAAAATGGTTTAGAACTGAGAAATATCAGGAAGATAGAAGTCAAGGAGGAGGAGAGGAGGAGGAGGTTCCATGTAATGTAATGTATGCTATGAGGAGTATAATAATAATAAGCCAGTTTTTTTAAAGAGGTTTGGTTGGTTGTGGGTGTGCACAGTTTTTGGAAATGAGGTGAAGGCGGGCAGGGGATGAGCTGTCCTCAGAGTGAAGACCTCTGTCGGTTTTGGCACCAAATTAAAATACTCCAAAATAATTCAGTCCTGCATTTAATATCTACGCTGTACTTTCCTAGCTACCCACTTTAACTCCGCTTTACATGATTAAAAATACGAAATACGGAGTATATATAAATATAAATACGTAGTATAAGAATCTAGATATTTATGTGCTCTCCCTCCTTGGCTTTTGAATTGCACGTTATATTTAGGATTCAAATTGGGCACTATGATTTTATGAGAATCTCATATGGGATACTAAGATTTTAAATAGATCAAACTGGACACTATGATTTCATATGTATCGCATATTAGACACTGAAGTTTCATAATTCATAATGGACACTATGATTGCATATGTATCGCATATTAGACACTCAAGTTTCATAATTCATAGTTGATGGAGTTATGAGACTAGGCCCAAGCCCTGATCTTGGGCTCGTGGATCCAAGTCCACAACCTGGAGTCTGCCTACCAGTCCAGTAGAGAGCCTATCGGTCTGGCCAACCTGCTAGTCCGGCCAACCTGTCAACTAGGAAAACTAGCGGTCAAGCCAATAATGCGTTGTTTAATTATGTATTTAATTCTGTATTAATGTTGTAATTAATTAGTCATCATTGTCGATAGCGGTAACGATTTGGGTATACGCCTATAAAAGGTAGGTTATAATTCAGATTATGAAGCAATTTCTACACGCTACTTTCCGGCAACTAAATCTCCTAGACACTTTCCTTACTCATACTTTCCTAATTCGTGCTTGAGTGTCTAAAGTAACTTTCGCAAAAGCCTACGAGCGTCCTATTTTGAACCAACAATAGTTTTTGGACACTCACTTATGATTCTCGACCTTCTTCCTTTAATAAAAATCGTTAGTATTATATTTCCTTTCCTTTTTGATGAAAATAAAGTAATTTAATTGCGAATATAATTTTGGAATATTTAATTTGATTTTTTTGAATATATATTTTGATTTTAATTAATAACTTCTTAAATTTAATAATTTGAAAAATATATTTAGGACTTTTCATTCATATGATTTTTATGGAACCTTAAGAAATATCGATTTGTTATATTGATTTAACAATATTAAAGAATTCAATTACATTATAATAGATTTTCTTAATTAGAACTTCTGATTATATATTCTAAATCTAAATACACGAATTAAGTTATTTTTATTTTTTAGGTACATAAAACTAAGAGAAAAAGGAATACATGTAGCTTTCTAAATGAAAAATTTAAAATCTTTGGTGGGTGTTCGAAAATGACCAGAAAAACGTAAAATTTAATCCATTTGAAACTTTAGTATCCAATATGAGATTTGACACTAAAATTTGTTACACAAGTAACAACAGTGTTCAATTTGGTCCATTTGAAACCTTAGTGTCCAATATGAGATTTTCATATAACCATAGTGTTCAATCGATCTCACCCTTATCCTACATGATTTGGTGTATACACTTTCATACATGTCTCTGCAAACAAAACATATTTTGACAAAAAGTATTTTTGTTCGCTTCTAGGGATCTGGTGTTAGACAAAACTAATAAGGAGTATTTTGTAACATATTCCCTCCGTCTCTTAAAACTTAATCATTAATAAAGAGGTTTAATGCATTAAACATTGTTGTAAAATATAAATTCGACGCATTAGCCATTTGTAATTTAAATAAAAAAATATTTTAAAACCCCTTGTATTTAATTATTTATGCACAAAAACCCTCCAAGAACAAATTTACAATTTTGATATCATATTTATTAATATTATGATTGAATATGAGAGTGATTATACCAGGATTCCTAAATTATGTACAACAAAACTAATATTTTTCATTTATTTGGCAATCAAATTTGTTCATAGTAAGATTGTTGCATCTTTAATATTACAAGAGGTTAATGCGAATTTATATTTCATGAGGGGTTTGGGTCATTAGATCCATTAATAAATTAAAAACTGAGTATTTGAGGTTAGTAGAGAGAAGAAAGAATAACTAGAACAAAAAACACTTTACTTGAAAGGAAAAATGATAAAGTTTATGGGATAATCCAAAAAAGGTTGTCATAGTTTTAGGGTGGGGAAGGAATATAAGTAAAAATGAAAATATGATGCTTTTAAAAAATTTGTAATACAATTATATCACTTTGCCAAAAAAATGGCCATTTTAGTGATTCTTACGAAGTTTTTTGGGTAAATTGGTGGAAGAATGACATAAATAATCCATGTCTCAAAATACTTTATTTTATCCTTTACAGTCCAACTTGGAGTCCGATTGGTGATCATATTTTTCGATTTATTAGGTTTATCAATCATTTTTTTCATCAAGCACGTAACTTTTCATTTCGCGCGCTAAATTGTGTAATCATAAGAAAACGTAAGGTCAGAGTTACTTTTGTGACTATATTGACTGAAGTTACTAATGAGCATCTTTTAGCTATTTTTTTCATATAATTTTTTCTTTATTTAATTAATAATGCAAATTTTAAGTATAGTTTATTCATAATTAAAAAAACCAGGCAATTAGCCAATCCAACAATTTTAGTCAGAACTTCATAAATTTCAACAGAAACAATTAATATAGTCAATTCAGTCCATTTGAATACTTCCTCCGTCTCTTTTTAATCGCAACGTGTTGACTTTTTGCACTGTTTACATGATCTATTTTGACTACATTTTACACTATTATTTTATGGAAATTATTTTTGAAAAAATATATTTTTCAATTCATCTCATTACAAATTTTCAAAATTTGATTTTTAATATTTTTTTATTAATAGAGATTAAGATATACTTACGATCAAATGTGTGCGTTGGCAAATGTGTAAAGGTTGAATGTTGCAACTAAAAAAGAACGGAGGATAGTATTAACAAACGGACTCTTCATATACTAGTATTTTTTTTCCTCTTGAAAAATACGGAGTACTCCCTTACTCCCCCTTTCATTTGTATAGCGTGATTGAGAATGTGAACAAATTGAATGAGCCCAATTAAGATGTCAAATTTTCAGATACCATGTGGCTAGGTCAAAACATTTGACCTGAGTCTTACTATCCAAATTTCGTGAGCAAGTCCGGACGAGTGGTGTGAATGCCCAGCTATGTAGCACCGATACCGGTACGCGGAAATGCGGAAACGGGTACGGGGATACGTCAAAACCAAAAAAAGTAGGATACGGATACGGGGCCATATTTATAATATTAAAAGTTATGGGGGTGTATTTACAAATATTAAAAGTTATAGGGGTCTATTTATAAATATTAAAAATAGATTTTTTTTGAATATATATATATATATATACATACATATAATATCCTATGATGTCTACCCATTCATTGCATTGAAACATTTTCCTTTTTCAAGATACTTAGTAATAAATTCATAATATTTCTCATATATACACTAGTGTATCTCGAAATATAAATGTAGTCAATAAGTCATTAATTTAAAATGAGAAATAAGTCAAAAAACTATAATCTTGAAATTAAAAGTGCAAGTACTCAATTCGGAGTATGAGTTAATGACTTAATTCGGATATAGCCATATAGGCCTATTATTTGATTACCAAGTAAAATGTGTTTTAGATTTTCATTTTTTTTTAGAATTTTATTAAGTAAATTTTGGGATTTTTTTTTTAAAAAAAAGTTGATACGGGTATCCGTCAGGATACGAGTATCGGAAACTTTCAAAAAATTACAAAAAAAATGGAAACTTTTAAAAATTGCAGATACGGCCCGGGAACGTACGATACGGGTATCCTAGAGTATCGGATACGGGAACGTATCGGATACGCCGATACGCTACCCTAGGGAAGTGTCCGTGCTTCATAGATGCCCAGTGACGTTCGTATTTTAGCATCTCATTGGATATCTTGTATCTGAATAATGAATAATAGTTCATTTCGTGGCACCGTTTTTTGGCTCATTTCGCGTAATCAATTTTGTAATACTCCTATCATCCATATATAAAAAGTATAATTTGACTGGTACACAACCCAAGAAGGAATAATATTTGACATTGTTTAGACACTGTTTGACACTATTTTGCACTGTTTTGTTTACTAAAACGGAAAATGAACCTTTTATATAGAGACAACCCAAAAGGAAAAAAGTGCATTTTATTTAGGGACGGAGGAAATAATAAGAAAAAATAAGGTTAAAGTTACTTTTCTGATTGCATAGGCTGAAATTACTGTAGACGATCATTTTAGCTATTTTTCATAAAAAAATACGGAGTAATATTTTATTAATAAAAAATATTTTAAATATGATTTTTTCATAAAACAGCAGAATCAACCAATGCAGTCACTTCCGCCAGAAGTTTATAAATTTCAGCAGAATCAGCCGATTCAACCAATTTTAATGCTACCAAACGGGTCTAAGGACTAAGACCAATGAAACTTGTGAATATCAACAGGATCAGGGCCGGTCCTAACAAAACAGGGACCCTGTGCAATAATAAAATTTGGGCCTTTTGCTTAATGAAGTAAAGAATATATAGTACTCCGTACGACGTACTCTATATTAGTAATAGATTATGTACTGATACTTTATTTTAACTTACAAGTTATTAATTAACAAAATAAACAGTCAAAATAAAAGTATTCCTTAACAAAATGCACTTTATTTTTTAACAAACTTTCTTTAACATATTTTCAATGTTTAGACGTGAAAAGACGTTTTTATTTTTTACTACATTTTAATTTGTAAGCGATATTTTTAAGTGTGCAAGTCTAATATGGAAGATTATCTTACGAAAACATCAATCTTTTCTAATTTTCAAGAGAATCAGATTTCCAGTCCTTATAAATATCACAAATATAATATCATGATCACTTAATCCTAAAAATTGAATATATGTTAATTATAACTATTGTACGGAGTAGCTATTATTGTCACTACAGATATTTTTTTCGTATTATTGTCACCATATTAAGAAGTCACATTTTTGTAAGTGTCATTTTTATCATGAGTTTTGTAATAAAGTTTAATAACAATACTTGCTCAATAATATTATGTA